TTTCAAAATTCTGAATTAGAAATTAATTAGATATTAATTTTTTTTATTTTAGGAACATTGTAAATTTGGGAAGATTTTTAGAAAAAATAAAAACTATAAGAATGAAACACGATATATTAACAAAAATTTTAACTTTAACAGGTCTTGTTGTATTGTACACTAAATGAAATATTCACAATTTTTAAAAAACAATATTAAAAATTAATTTTAATATTAAAAATAAATATTTCTTCTAAGGTTCGGCAATAAATGAAAATAGGTTTAAATATTTCGAAATGTTTGTCGGGAGAACGAACAGAAGATTGAAGAATTTCGCCAAGAAGAAATTTTTTGTATCTGTAGAGTTTTAACAAATATAAGACGGCATTTTCATTTCACAGAAATGAATAAAAGAAAACTATTTTAATTTTTAAAAATAAATTATAAAATCAGGTTTCCCGACCATGTATAGTGACTCTACTTAACATGATTTTTATAAAATTATTTCGGCTCGAATCTTGTACTGAATCTACAGTTTTACAGTTTTATTTTTTTTAAAATTAATGTGTCCTTTTTAGATGGCCACCAGTGTAAGTTAGATGAAAAAAATGCTTAAAACTTTATTTATGCATTGGAAATAAATTTTTTTTTGTATTTTTCGGCAAATTTCTTTTTGTATTTTTATTATATATATAAAACATGAGTGTCTATACATGTGTATGTATCTACACGTATATTTCAAGATTGTGTATGTATAGGTCCTGTCGTAAAAGTTTTCGCTAAAAATTTCCAATGAATTTTTAAAATTAAAGAATAAAATGATAAAATGAAAATTTTATATACATACTCACTTATTATTAAATATACACATTCAATTATACATATGTATACATATATACAAAAGTTTATTTAAAATTCATCAAATTTTATTTGATTTTCATTTTGATCTTATTGAAAATTTTGTTTAGAAAAAACAGTTTTTCTTTTTTTTTTTTGTTAATGAAAATCAAATTAAGATCACATTGAGGATTTTTATATTGTTAAAATGAAAATAAATTGATTGGAAAAAGGAAAAATAAAATTTTAAAAATTTTTTAAGAAAGTTAAACAAATTTTTGCCTTTTATTGGGAAATTATGAAAATTATTAATGAAATGTCCTCGAACAATATTTAAGGCCTAGTTTTGTGTAAAAAGAGTTTGCACTTGTCTTTTGTATTTAAAGTTTTTTATTTTGTCATGGGTGGTTCATTTTAAAAGTATTGACAAAGTTCATTTCTGTGGCAATTTACCAAAACCCGATAACCCATTTTTTTGGGCAATTTGAGCTAGTGATAAAAATAAAATCTTCATTTAAAAATACCCCATGAGTTAATTTAAAAAATATTAAAAGTTGTTAAATCCTTAACCAGATAAACCTAACCAATCCATTTTACAAAGTTGCCAAAACCTAAATTTTACCTTGTCGATATTTACAAATTTCGTGATATCGGGTTTTGGTAAATTTTCACAGATTTCCAATTTTAAAATTCTATTATTTCTAAACCAATGATAATGTCAGTAATTGGAATTGAAACTTTTGTTGCGTTTAAACGGAAACAGTTACTTTCAAAATAAACCATCCATATAATATGAAAAATTTTTAATAGTGCCCGAAACACTATAAAATCTAAATGGGACCACCAAATTGCACCGATAGTTCACCGATTAGACCGAAATACACTATGTATAGGAAAGAATATAAAATAAAATTGGTTTATAGGATGAACTTTTTCCTTAAGTAGGTGAGAATATAACTTTTACACAAAGGGGCAAAACGAAAGAGAAAAAGCTTCTTGCTTTTGCATTCAACGACAAATAAATTATACCTTTTATGTATATACGTTATTAATTTTTAGGGGTTAGTTGTCAAAAACAACCGTCAATCGACGAACAAGGAAATACAGCCCAAAATTTTAAAAATCCGAAAGCATGGTTAAGACCAAATAAATGTAATTTTAAATACAATAAGTTCCTAAGTACGTCTATTAATAATAAGCTATAACTAACATCCTTCTGAAATTTAGTGTAATTTTTACCACAAATTTTAGAATTGCAATTTGTTTAAATTGATTAATTGAAGTCAAAGAAAGTTGGGGATTAATGTACATTAAATTAAAATACATTAAATGTATGAACTCGTGTATGTATGTATATATAAACTAAGCCAGCTACATATGTATATTCTTATTATTATGTTAATTTTATTATACTCGTACTTGTTACATCCTTTTATTTATTTTCTTTCTTATATTCTTTCTTGTTCCTTTTGAATGTGATGCGAAATAATTTATTGTTAACGCTCCACACATTATACATACACATGTGTAACTTTATCAAAAAAACAAAATTATTAAAAAATATTCAACATTTTGGTTTTTCTTTTTATTTCCTCCCGCTGACTGTTTAGTGACTACTTTGCGCACAATAAGGGAGGTTATGTGATAGCACCAATTTTCGGATATCGAGTTTTCATAGTCGGGAATAGAAGGAAAGGGTAAATAAACTTTTAAAAAGGTACTTTTGGGGAGATATCGGTTTGTGTGTGCACGCATGTATCTCAAGTTCGTCTATGGAACAAATTTATCAACTTTTGGGACCAGAACTCAGAAACCGAATTAGGAGCCGATTTTAGATTATTTCCTAAGCAACGGTTTGATTGAATTTCTTAAAATTTGAAATTTATGTTTTGGTTGTTAGCGAAATCATCTGGTGAACTTTTCAGGGTATTCGGATGGCACAAAATCAAATTGTAATCAGAGCCAAATTTACACTTTTCTAAAAAAAAGTTTGCTAGCTTCCTTAAAATTGAAAGGAAGTGTTCAAAAGGCATTTCCAAAATCTTCTGTAACACTTTCATTAAACCAAAACACACATTGCAGTCGGTTATGTGCTGACTAAATCATATTTTTTATATTATTTTCCTTATGTAATAAACCTTTACGACATTTACTTTTATTATGAATTTTTAAGAAATTTCAAAAGAATTTGTAAATTTTCTACGTATATACAAATTTGCAGGAATTGATGTAAAAATTTAGTTTTACAATAAAAAGAAGATGAAGCACACATGATGTTTTTTTTTTACATTTAACCGATTAACATCATTTTATGTATGTTGAAGCTGACTTGATTGAATAGGGAAATCGAACAAATTTTCTGCTTTGCAAAAATAATAATTTGTAATTTGGCAATTCAAGTTTAGAGTTTGATTTATTATAATAAAAATGGAAGTTTGGTGGAGCTAACAGTATAGAGTAGAGAAAATTTCTTAAAACTTATTTTAAGAAGACGAAAAGGGGAACAGACAGACCAATGTATCAAAGGGCTGAGAGAATAAAATTTTGTATTATAATAAGCATTTAATAAAAATTCAATAGTGTTTATATGAAATTAATTTTCTTAATTAAATATATAATTTAAATTTTGTATAAGGTTAGTATGTCAACTATAACAAATATAACAAATGTATAAACGGCATATACACATACTTACATTATATCATATTACAAATTTCTAGAGAATTTATAGGTACAAAATGAATTTATGGTAAAAAATAGTTTATTTTTGTAAGAAAAATAATTAAAATAGTCAAATAATTATTATAAGCAAACATACACAGGGTGGTCCTATGTAAGCGTTAAAGCTCTTGGCAGGCGGTTTTTTTGATAACTGTAAAAAAGACGACTATATTAACGAAAAATTTGAATCTTGGACTTTTCTATAATATCTAGTCGTCTATTTTACAGGTATCGAATTACTACTGACATAAATTATCACTTTGCCTGAAAAATAGCATGTGTGCCATGAAAGTTATGTAGAGAAAATTTGTAGAGGATGAGAAGATGTAGTGCATTGAGAAAACAAAAATTGCGGACTTTTTTCAGATAATTTGCGTTTTTTTTTTAATTTTCTGTTTTTCAATTCAAGATTCTGTGTTGGAGCAACTCTTACTTGAAAACGGTACTTCTGATACCAATCATCGGCATATTGTAATGTAGGTCAAAATTTTACTTTAGCTTCAACAACTTCGAAACTATGAGGGATGTTCGTCTGACAGAATTTTTTCAATCTTTTTTTTCCTTTCTGAACCCCCCAGTACTACTCCCAGTTTATTTGTAATGAACATCCCGAGAGCTTTAGCACTTGGACCGGACGACTCTGTATATGTATTTTGTAGAATGATCGGGTGTTTTTTGCTTTTCTATATATTATATAATGCACAATATAAATAAAAATAATTTTATGTATACAATCATAATGTATATGTACGTATATATATATTTACATTATTTACGTTTTCGACGCCAGATGTTTTAAAATTGCAAAATAATTTTTATATAATTTTATAATATTAAAATTATAATTTAATTGCATACAAATGGGGATTTTTTCTCTGTCATATTATTAATGTTTTTGTTGTTATCGTCATTTTTCTTTTTCCCACCAAAAATTTTTTACGAATTATTCATCATAAATTTTTATTAAGCCAAGTAAAAATATTCTTGTTTAAATATTTGAACAAATGTTTTTAATATCATATTAATAATTAATAATAGAAATTTAGGGTTTTTCTGGGGGTGGGAGGGGGGGAGGGGGTGGAATTCAAAATACAATATTATATGTATACAAGTTAACAACGGATTAAATAACTGTTATATTACAAAAACATGCTTCAACCAAACATATTTTATCGTAAAAAATTTCAACGCTGAGTTTTAGGAATGAAGAATAATTTTAATTTACGAAAATCACCCAAAATGAAATTTTTTAATCAAGCAATTTTTATATTTTAAATTAGCTAGAATTTAGATTTAGATTTTAGTCTTAGAGTTTTAATTACAAATAATCAAATTGCATTTTAATTGGAAGTAATTTGTGTCTTAAAATAAAATTGAATTATAAATGCTCTTCGTTTGGTAAATTAAAAAATATATTATAATCACAGAGCTATACATATTTATATACGAAAATGGAAGAAAAATCCAGATTTTAGTTTACGATATTGACTTGATGACTGTTACCATTGCCAGCAATCGAAAGACAATTCTTGGGAATTGTTTTAATCAAATTGTTTCTTGTTAATGGTTTTGATATTTTATAAGTTAATTATATCATTAAGTTGCACAAAAATGTTTTAAATAATAAACCAAGGCCGCAAATCCCAATGAAATTTATTTTGATTGTAGCGGTTCAACATAATTTTGTATAATTTTGGTTAAACAATTGAGAATTTTACATTTTTAATTTTTCTTTAATGTAATCAACTATAATTAATTCCTTAAATTTTTCAGCGTAGTCTAAAGGCGTTATGCCATCTTCATCGTTAATTTCTAATTTCGCAGTCTTTTCTTCTACTAAATATTTTACAATATCAAGTTTTCCAGCTCTTATAGCATAATATAATGGAGTTCTTTGAAACCAATCTAAACCATCCACATCACTACTTTTATTTATTAAAATTTCAATAATATCTTTATTTCCGATTTCTGCTGCCAGATGTAAAGGCATACAACCTTTATAATAATCTACAAAATCTGGTAGTGAACATTTAAATAAATCTTTAGAATAATGTAATAATTGATAGTTGGGACGAGCTCCATTGTTAAGTAAAATTTCAATTGCTTCCATATTGCTATTATAAACTGCATAATGTAATAACGAACCAAAATTTTCATCATAGCTATTTAAAATACTTTCAATAAAATTAGAATCTATTCTGTTTAATATAGTTTTGATTTCGTCATAATTTCTATTTTTCATTTCATTAAAGATTTGAAGGAAATTATCGTTGAGTTTTTTCAATAATTCCAAAATTGTTGCAGAATGCTTCAAATAACGCGAAGAGTTTTCTAACACTTCGTTTATGTGTTTATAATTAAAATAATTGAAATATGACCAAGCCTGTATTAGATTTTCAATAGTTTTTTTATTATTAAACTGGGATAAAATATTTTGTAGTTCATCATCAATTTTAATGCTTTCTAAATTGAACATATTATATAATTCATCAATTTTGTATTTATTATTGGTAGTTTGAAACCCTGGAAATCTACGAAATATTTGATTAAATCTTAATAAATCTTGTTCAAGATATTCTAAAATTATTTCAATATTATTGAAATCTTTTATTGCAAATTTACCAACTAGATATTGTAAGATGATAGCATTATGATCAAATGAAGAAGGTAAAACTTGTGGCGCATATATTGAATTTATAAAAACTTTATTAATTGGAGTAAATTTATTAGAGCTTTGTAATGTAGTAAATTTATTAAAACTTTTTATAATTTTGTCCTTATGAAAATGAAAATTTTCCTTAAATGATCTAAATTCATCTTGCGCATCATTTACATATGAAAGGAATCTGTCAGTTTGTACATAGACCATCTTAAGAATTGGTGAATTTCTTATGTGATCTTTAGTACTTGGAAAATTATCTAAAACTCTTGGAAATAGGTAAAATAAAGTTTGTGTTTTGTGTTTTATTTCGAGTCCATCAGCCTTTTTTGTAATTTTCCAGTCTGTTACTTCTACGTTGCTATTGTGAATATGATATAAAATATGTTTTAAAATTAAATCAGCCGAATTACGATTAGTTTCATTTCCTTGATTTTGTAACCTAAAAACTCGATCAAAAAATTTCAATATATTGTTGACATTTTCCGCATATTTTATTGTTGTAATTTTGGAATATGTATTTAAACAATTAAATCCTATTCCAGATTTCAATAGTTTTTTGATTTTTTGAAATGACTCGGCTACACGTGAATTCACATAAAGATTAGAGATTTTATTATCTAAATTAGAATTTCTAAAAAAGTAACTGATATCATCGATGCTGGTTAGTTCTTCAAATAAAAAATTTATACCAACTGACAGATTTATTCCTTTTTTTATCATCACGTCGATTAAAACTTTGTCATAATTATTGTGAATGATTAAATTGAACAGATAATGAAATGACCATGAATTGTTTTTGAATTGTTTAACCCAATCAATGTTAAGATTTTTTATAAACGATTTAATTGTGTATACTGATGATTTCATAAGATCTTGTAGAGGTACAAAAATGTTGACAAAAGTGACCACATTGATTAGATTTACTTTCACAAAAGTTTTTTCGGCAATACATGAATGGTATCCACCTATAGTTTGGAGCAAATTAAGTTCGTTTGAATCTTTTGTACGTATATCGATGATAAATTTTTCGATAATTTTTTTTAAAATGCTGCTATTACTATTTTTTGCAGCTATCCACAAAACTGTTTTAGTCCATCCCTCATTTTTATGATAATCCTGAAGAAGTCTTTCGTCAAACATATCAATTAATGAATTTGCAATATTCTGGTAGTTCATTTCTGCAGCAATTTTTAAGATATTAATTTTTCTATTTTTAACAAAATTTCGAATTATCAAAAGAGATTGTAATTTGAGTTTCTCATACTTCTTGTACGAAAACACAATCTCAACTATATTCCAAAATAATTTTACTGAGCAATTGTCGGGCAATGATCCTTTGGATAGCGCAGAGAGGAAATAAAGAAAACGCTTTCTTTTAAAAACAATATTGTTAACGGCAATGTCATTCTGTGCTATTGATTGAAAAAATTCACAAATTTGTATTCTGTCCGGAACAAATAAACAGTTAATTAAAGCATTTTCAAAAAAAGCCTTAAAGTTGACATAATTTGTTGATTTAAAAAGATTCCAAAAGTGATCGGCAACGAAATATTCAATGAAAGTTTGATGAAGGAATTGAGGTGTCTCATTTACTACAGACACAATGATTCCTGTTTTCTCTTCCCCTTTTTTAATTTTATTTATCAAATTTTCAATTTTTTTTTTTCTAATTTTTGGAATTAGCGCGTTACATATCGCTTCATCTTTCCCAAATAGGGTATATACGGCAAGAATTCGATGATCTTTTAAAAAGTAATCTTCGTACATTGTTTCAACCAATTTTTCAATAGAATGATGATAATCGGCACAATTTGTTTTTTCTTTAAATTGAATATCGAAATATTTTTTTTTAATAAACTGCTGGTATAAATTGGCCAAATTAAATTTTTCATCTATTTCTTGTTCATCCACATTTAAACTTTCTGCATTGTCACAGACAGAGAATTTTTCAAAAGCTTTTTCAGAAGCAGTCGCTAACATGTTTAAATGCAATGGTGTACCCAGAAAATCCTTTTCATGCAACTCATTTTCTTTATGCTTGATGGATTTTGAAAACTTTAATAGCATGTTATCAATGAAGATGTCAATACGCTTATTTTGATTAAGCGTTATTTTTAAATTTGTTTTCCAAAACTTTTCTAAATACATTTTTTGATCTTCTTGACTAAATGGCTCTATGCGAAAAGCAAATGTATTTAATTTATTTTCCAATTCATTTAAAATGTTATAGTCTCGTGTTGTTATCCATAATTTTTTTAATTGAAGTTCTTTAAGAACTGTTAACATAGCTAAAATTTCGTTTTTATAATGCGGAACGATTTCATCGAAACCATCCAAAAGTAGGATTATCTGATGATTATCATAAAAATAATTGAATATCGCAATTTCTAAGGTAAATAATCCACAATCAGCATTAGTTTTATAATCCTTACCAGAAAAGTCGCAGTTTAATATGTTAGGAAATCGCTTTATTAATTTTTCCATCATCTCATTGGCTTTAAAGGTTTTGGAAACGCAAACTTCACACAAGAATTTTTCCACTTCACTTTTATTGATAGTAACTTTCTGTAAATCACTGTATTGTTTTACGTGATCCAAAAGATTAAGTCTGATAATATACAGTGAGGGGTTTAATGCTTTAGTCTCTTGCGCTAGTTTTGATAATATGGTTGATTTTCCCATACCAGGTTCTGCACAAATGATTCCAATTTTATCTTCAAAATCATTTAAACTTTTTGGCAAATATACCACTTTTTGTAAATTCAATACTTTTCGTAATTTACAAAGGTCGCCGTTAGATCTTTGCCAAATAAGTTTGTCATCGTCTCTTTTAAGCCAATGTATATTTCGAGTTTTATGAATTTTGGTTAAATTTTCATAAATATTTAGGTCAGATGATATAACAATTACATCTTGTTCTTCCTGTAAGTTTTCAAAATTACCTTGTACATTTTCACTATTACTATCCACGATAAAAAAGTTTGGGTCATTTTTAAAAGAAATTTCATCAAAAAGTTCCGCACGAGTCAATTTTCGATCAATATAATGATCTTCCACATAATTAAAATTTAAGATGTTTTTACCAAATTTCATTTTTTGTTTTTTAATAAGTTTTAACAACACTTCGCCGTTAATAAAATGTTTCAATTGCTCATTAACTATAAGCGAACCAAGCAAAACTTCACGTCCTTGGAAAATAATTTTTTCTGTATCTAAAATTCGGTTCTGAGATGCAAGTGTAAGGTTATTAAACCATATACTTTGATATTCTTTATCAAAATATTGATTTTCGCTACTATTTTCAAGCTCATTATCATTTTGAGTTATTAGAATAATTTTTTTATTTTTCACATGTCGCAACGTATTTTCTAATTTACTGTAAAAATATTTTAACTTGTTTTTAATTTCCGGCATTTCACTTTCAATTACAAGAAGATTAATTTTATTACAAATGAGTGATTGTTTTAAAAAATCCAAAAGACGATGTGCTGAAACTAATCCAATTTGAAGTGTGACTCTCTGAAGCTCTGGCATACCTTTCAAAATTTGATTAATTTTGATAGCAGTCAAGAGTGGCTGTTGATTTATAATATTTAAAATTTGATTATTTTCAACGTTTTTTTGAAGAAATTGTAACAATTGTTCATCTTTAGAATTTAAATTAAATGTTATATCAAAATTTTCCATATAGATTCCATAATCTAGAGTAACACCGGCTAATTTCAATTCACATAATTTCCGTGTAGCATTTTGAAATAATTTTCTACCGACTTCCCCTGACATATATTGGTCATGTCCTTGGTTTTTTAACCAATCTAACATATTATCAAAAAAATCCTTATATATGTAATCTGTTTCGAGAAAATTAAACTCCATGCCAATATCATTTGCAATAATTTCACCCAATTCCTTTTCATTAGGGTTATTAACGGCGAACACTAAACTCTTTAAAAATTCTTTGATGTCGTCTTCGTTGAAATTTTTTTGATTTTTTGAAAATTCTCCTGTTGCCTTGCGTTTTCTTTGTTTTGCTTCCCAATAAAACTCCAACTTTTCGTTTAATATTGGAATTATATTCTCGTTAAATTTATACTGTTTGGCTACTTTTGTTAGGTTCTCATTGTTAAAATCTAAAATAACATTCTTTTCTTTTACTTCTTCAACCATATCTTGCAATGTTTTAATGTTACCCTCCCATTCATAAGTGTCAAGTAGGTCTAGATTGATGTTTGTACAAATAGTTACATTCTTAATACTACCATTCTTGAAAATTGGTTCACTTTTGCAATCTTGAAAAGAAAAGAAATATTTTGGCAAACAATATTCACTCTCTTTTAATAAATCATCAAATTTAATTTTTCTAGATTCATTTTCTTTATGTTTTGCTTGCAAAAGCAAGTATTCCTTTTCGCCGTTTTCGGTTATTTCAAAAACCAAATCATCAAATTTTTTTGCTTCTTCTACTTCTGTTCCCAAACGAAAAGAAAATTGTTTATTTTGTGTTTCCATGTCCATACCGCGTTTTAAGAACAACATTAATAATTTCAGTTGATAAATTTGTCCTTGAAGAGCAGGTAATGATTTTTTACCTTTAATTTGTAATGTGGTTTCAGGCATAATTGATTACTGAAATAAAAAAACATAATTATTATAATAGAATAATAAAGAAGGTCTTCAGGGTATTTGTAATAAAATAAAACATTTTAAAAATATGAAATATTTTCTAGTACAAACCGCAGTTTCTTAGTAATGCACACAGTATTCAAAAATATTTATGAATAACAATTTTCTTCTTAATCATAGAATGCAATTTATTTCGAATATACCTAGCGCTTTTATCTTAGAGTTTTTCCCATTGACAATTATTAATTTTAGTCAAATTTCTACTGTTTTGTGTGCTGAGATTGTAAATTATGCATTGCCTTTCTTGTGTTTAAGTGGAATTAAAAAAAAATTGCAACACAAATTCCTATTTATTTAAAATTGTAGATTTATGCTTGGAAATTTCTTAAGTTTTCTGCTATTTCAACAAATATACTGAAACTTAATTTTTAAGTAAAACTTTGTTCATTGACTAGATCAGAATAAAGACTCCCTTAAAAATTTATAATTTTTTTCTTATTTACCAACACATTCTATATAGTTTGTGTGTTAATGCAACGTTATAACTTAAATAAATTCAATTATTTATCTTAACATAAAATTTTTGTTATAAAAAGTTTTATAAATTTTCATGGAGTTATTTTTATCTTATCGATTGATAGCGATTAAACACATTTCAAAACAAAATAGTTTATTTTGCTTTAATTGCATATTTGCGATTCGGCTATATGTCAAATACAGAGCAAATATCTACTTACGAGTATGTTTGATTTGTTTCGATATATGTATACAGGCACATTGAAAGAAATATTTCCGACTCCAAAAAGTCAAACTCGTATATAAGCAACTCACATAAAATTAAAACTGCTTTATTATAGTAAAATTTTTTTGTTTGCAATTTATGCCTTTAGAAACCCATCAGTTACAAGCAAAAACCTTATATGAACACAAATAAATTTGTTTCATTTACCATTTTCTTCTTTCTTAGTACCGAAAATTAAGAACAATCTATCGTCTGTAAAACAAGCTCTCAATGATAACTCTATGTTGTATGGTTTCGAAGTAGCATTTATTTATATGCAGAAAAAGTCTGATATCTTTTTTTTTCAACAGGCTGTAGCTCGAAAAAGAATATATCTGCCGCACTCCTCCTACAATTTTTTTGCTGGAAATTTATCAAAGAATTATTCCTGAAATAATTTGCTACCTTATGCGAAACCCCCTGTATAACATTATAGTTCTTGTTTGGCTTACTCACCAAATATTTTGCTTCGTTATTAGACTAAAATGATATTATTTTCTAAAAATTCAATAGTATTTTTTATAATTGAAAATAATTTGATTTTTCCGTGCTTTTGAACATATAATCTAATAATCATTAAAATCTAATAATAAAACTTCCTCGGTTTAAAATGTGCGTGAAACGCTTAAAATTTTTTGTAATACTGTGAGATTTTTTTCTGCTATAAAAACTATCAGTTATTGGAAAAAAAAATTTTTGTTATCGAATTTTATCAGTTTTTGACAATTTTTTTAGTGTTAGCACACATCAGTTTTTGACAATTTGAATAGTGTTAGCACACATACGTATTATATTACGTTAGCACACATCAGTTTTTGACAATTTGAATAGTGTTAGCACACATACGTATTATACGGGGCCCAAAACCGCACTGTCACCTCCTAGTGGTGGGCCCCGGTAATGGCGGAGGATAAAGGGGTGATTGAAACGATCAAAGTTACGTTCGTGTCGTGGTCATGTCTCGCGGCGAGCCTCTTACTTTGTGAGTTTCAGCCCTATATCTATACGTCAGCTGACGACAGGCGTCCCAAGTCAAGGTGAAACAGCATATGCCGATGACTGCGTGGCTAAGGGGGAGCTTAGTCGTTAGTATGCGGGCTCTGGATACCTGGCGCCCTCCAGTTTAAACAAGCCTTCCCATGGTATGCCGGGCTTTGCCATGGGTGACTTTACTTTCCCGCGCTATTCGTGGGACCAAAAATGGAGAACATAAACAATAACAACAAAAACAGCAACAACAAGAACAACAACTGTGACAAACACAACAACTGCAACAACAACAATAACAACAGTGACAATTACAACAACAACAACAATACTAAGGACAACATTAATACAAACCCAGTTAGTGCTCAAGGGTCTTCGGAACCAGAGCTTCTCCCGACTGACGCAGAGGAGGAACTCCTTCTCACGCCAGTAGAGGAAAAGGCGGCGCCTCCGATGGAGGCGGATAATCAGGATCCTCTTGGACCTATTATCCAACAAACTGAGGAGGACCTGTAAAGGTTGGACATCAGGGGAAGAAAACAATATTTCTCTGGTGCATCCAAGCGGCGTATCGCGGCTTATATCAGAGATGGCATGTCCCCAGAGGAAACTCGCAGATATGAGAAGAAAAGGCTAGAAAAGCTGAGGGCCCGCGGATCGCGTGTTGTGGCCGACCATCCCCAGAAGAGGGAAAGGTCGGAAAGCAACACCCCTGATGCAGGGCCCTCAAAAAAGAGGTCGATGAAGGGCAATGTTGAGGAAAAGGTCCCTGGGAACATACCTCAACAAAACCCGAAAATGACTTCTTATCGGGATGCAGTAGCACAGGTCAAGGTGGCCATCACTCATAGACTGCATCCAGAGGAAAGGCTATCCCATGTTCAGATGGGGAAAATCAAAGTAGCCATCATGGATGAAATGGATAGGGTTGTGGACTATCATCCACAATTCACTACAGCGTTGCAAAGAGACGGATGGATATCCGTAACATGCAACAATCCAAACACCAGGGAGTGCATAACCAGTGTCTGCAGGAAGATAAAGCCCTTGGCACGGTTGCGACGTCGTAGTACTGGATGGCGACGACATGCCCAAACAGCATGTCTGCGTCACCTACGTACCAAAGGAAGAGACAACCGTTGGTCTCTCCAGGGACAAATTTCTAAGTAGGATAAGGAAGCAAAATCCCGGCCTCAAGATAAGTTCCTGGAGGGTGCTGAGGATGGATAAGGAAAAGGACGGGGGCTGCTCCATCACCTTTTCCGTGGATGATTCCGGATTGAAAGATCTACGAAGCAGCAATATAAACAAAAGAGGTGAGTGCCTACTTGAATTTATATATAGCAATAAATTAATGGTTATGAATGAGGGCAATAGGCCGACATTCATAAATGCAATTAGGGAAGAGGTCCTTGACATCACCCTTTGCACTGAATTTATCGGCAGTAGGGTTGGTGGATGGCATGTCTCAAATGAGACATCCATGTCCGATCATAGGCAGATTAGATTTGATATTATGGTCTCCGGGGGCCTGGCAGAAGAAATATATCGGGTACCCCAATCCACAGATTGGAGTCAATTCGAAACGCTCCTCATGGATGGGATTGGATCCGTTCCTACTTCTGTCAGAACGGTGATAGATATCGAACTGGCCAGCAAGGCCCTGACGGCGGCATTACTAATGCCTACCACGGGAGCTGCCGCACTAAGCCGAGGCGGAGCAATAGGGAGTGCTCGTGGTGGACTGAAGAGCTTTCAAGGCTTAGACTAAAGACCAGAAAGCTATTCAATAAGGCCAAGGCGTCGGGTTCGTGGGAAAAGTATAAAGACTCACTCACAAAATACAAAACACAGGGTGCTTTCCAAGAAGTATGCTAGTAGGTTGGGCCTAATGGAACGGCCTGATGGCTCCATGACTGAGAACGGAAAGCAGACGTTGGAGCTTATGGCGTCAACGCCCTTTCCTTAATCGGAGATTCTTCGGAATCACTCAAATGCGGTCATTGAACCGAGGGCCTCCTGGCCCAGGAGGGATGACTGGCAACGATCCCGTCTACTCTTCACGATGGGCAGGATTAGATGGGCTGTTTTCTCTTTCAGGCCCTTCAAATCTCCAGGTGATGACGGGATATATCCTGCATTTTTGCAGGCTAAAGTGACGTATATTCCGAAGGTGGGTAAGCGATCAAGCAACCACCTAAGGTCTTTCCGTCCAATCAGCCTTACTTCTTTTCTATTGAAAGCAATGGGAAAAGTGATTGATAGATTTATACGGGACGATGCACTGGGAAGCAATCCCTTGCATGAATCTCAGTAAGCCTATCAGTCGAGAAGGTCTACTGTACTCGCTCTGCAGAGTCTGGTGGGAGTCCTTGAAAACTCACTGGAGATGCGGTGGCAGTTGGCTGCTTCCTTGATATAGAGGGAGCTTTTGACAACACTCCATATCATATCATCTGTGAGTCGTTGCACAAACTCTTCATCTCCGCTGCAAAAGGATGTCCGCAGGGCGGGGTTCTTTCGCCCCTCCTGTGGTCCATTGTAGTGGATGATCTAATCGCTGCTCTCAGGGGCTCCGGGGCGCGTGTCTGGGGATACGCCGACGATGTGGCCTTCGTCATGCGGGGAAAATTTTAGAGCACTATTTCTGATCTTCTACAGCAAAATATACGTGTTGTGGAAAGGTGGTGTAAAGGCGTTGAGTTAAATATAAATCCAAGCAAGAGCACTTTAGTCGCCTTCACCAGACGCAGAAGCAGGGATAGATTAACGAGCCCAATTCTGTTTGGTGAACGTATTAGTTACTCTATGGAGGTGAAGTATCTGGGGGTAACCCTGGATGATCGTCTCTCTTGGAATACCCATATAGATAGAGTTATCGGGAGAGCTACGGCGGCCTTGTGGACGTGTAGGAGCTTCATCGGGGAGACCTGAGGAATTGGTCCCAGAATAGCACTGTGGCTATATACGGCCCAGGCTAGTCCCATCGTCACCTATGCGTCGATTGTATGGTGCCGTAAGGCTCAGCAGGCGGGTGTGCGGGCAAAGCTGGAAAAGCTACGGAGGCTGACCTACCTGGGAGTGACCGGGGCAATGCGGATGGCTCCCACCACTGCATTGGAGGTGATGATCGGATTGCCGCCACTGCACCTCTATATATTGAAGGAAGCCCGGCTAGTGACTTACCGACTTCTCTCTGGCGAGGACGGGGCAGGGCTAAAGTTCGCCCACAGAACTCACAGAGACTTCATTGAGAGCGATCCGATTCTAAGAATAACCATGTCGGATACCTGTCTGCCGCGGTACAACTTCGACCACAGGTACAGGGTTCTGTTTCCCGATCGATGGACGTGGGATCGGGGTGGTCCGGTACTTAAGTCGGGTTCGAGCGTGTGGTATGCGGACGGGTCCAAAACGGAGTCGGGTGTGGGTTCGGCCGTATACGGTGTCCGCCCGGACACGCGTGTATATGCAACCCTTGACCCGTATTGCACAGTGTTCCAGGCCGAAATACATGCAATGGAGATCTATCTGAGAATCAATTTAGAAAGGGGGTATAGAAACCGCACCATCTATGTGTTCTCAGACAGCAGGGCTGCACTGCTGGCGCTTCGTTCAGCTCACGTTACACCCAAGCTAGTCTCGGGCTGCCTTGCTGCACTTATGGAATTGGCATCGGGGAACAGAGTGACGCTCATTTGGGTGCCGGGCCATAGTGACCATGCGGGCAACGAAGTTGCCGATGGGCTGGCGCGGAGGGGATCTGGGGCTGACTTTGTGCAGCCGCTGCCTTTCTGCGGTCTGCCTCCTTGCGCCGCGGGGGCCAGGCTTGCCTGCCTGCTCGCGGCGAAATGCAATGCGGCCGTCACTGGCGGGACACGAAAGGGTGCCGTCATGCGAAAGTGTTTCTTTCGGCGTGCTCCAGCGGATTCACCGCAGAGTTGCTGGGGATGAGCAGGAGCCGGGTTCGCACTATTGCGCATTTCTTCACGCGGCAATGCCCAGTGAAGTACCACCTGCATAGGCTGTGGAAGTCGGGCTCCCCCCTGTGCAGATTTTGTGGGGGTGGCGATGAGACCGCCGTACACATTTTCTGCGACTGTTCGGCACTGGCTGTTCGGCGCCGCAATTGTTTTGAACATGGGTCCCTTAGTGTTCGGGAACTGTTGTCCAACTCCCTTAGGGATATCTCCAGCTTTGTGGTTGGGACGGGGATATTATAGACTAGAGAGCTACAATAAGTCAAAAATGGTGGCTTGGGGGGTTACTCCTGTCCCACGCGGTTCCCTTAGAATCTACGAATCTACGTATTATATGGAGCCAGTTTTATGTATTCATAAAACTGGCATGTATTCCAAAAAATGATTTTATAAAAGAAAGTTAATTAAAAAGTATAATTTTTTAATGTGAGAGCAGAAAATAAGTTGTAATAACTGCGAATCACAGAATTAAGTTATTCACATTATTTGACTTTGAATACGGCAAATACTTGCATCACTAACTGTCAAAATCAATTTACAAAATAGTTACGCATAGATATAAAAGACGTGTAAATTTAAATCTAATTTGACCTTTAAATCACTACTTACACTATAACTAAAGATTCGA